TTCAGTTCCCAGGCCAACATGGCGACTGTTCTATGGGAGGCAATACAGAACTCGCCACGCGCGCGCGCGGCTGGTGACCCGCTCACTGCGCGGGTCACCCGAAATCCTGTCGGCCACCGCTAAGGGTTCACTTCCGCTTCCAGGCCAACATGACAACTTTTCTATTGGAGAAAAGACAGGACTCGCCACGCGCGCGCGCGGCGGGTGACCCACCCACCGCGCGGGTCACCCGAAATCCTGTCGGCCACCGCTAAGGCCCACTTTAGTTTCCAGGCCAACATGGCGACTGTTCGACTGGAGACAATACAAAACTCGCCACGCGCGCGCGCGGCGGGTGACCCACCCACCGCGCGGGTCACCCGAAATCCTGTCGGCCACCGCGAAGGGTTCACTGGGTTTCCAGGCCAGCATGGGGGCTTGTCTATTGGAGACAATGCAGAACTCGCCACGCGCGCGTGCGGCGGATGACCCACCCACCGCGCGGGTCAGCCGAAATCCTGTCGGCCACTGCTAAGGGTTCACTTTAGTTCCCAGGCCAGCATGGCGACTTTTCTATGGGAGTCAATGCGAAACTCGCCACGCGCGCGCGGCGGGTGACCCACCCACCGCGCGGGTCAGCCGAAATCCTGTCGGCCACCGCGAAGGGTTCACTTTAGCTCCCAGGCAAGCATGGCGACATTTCTATTGGAGACAATGCAGAACTCGCCACGCGCGCGCGGCGGGTGACCCACCCACCGCGCGGGTCACCCGAAATCCTGTCGGCCACCGCTAAGGGCTAATTTTAGTTTCCAGGACACACGCACACACACACGACACGCAAATAGCATGATTCCCCGTGTTGTCCCGTATGTTCGAGCTTTTTGTCTTCCCCCCCACTTCCCATACTGTCCCATATGTTCCTGGGGATCGACGGTGAATTGTGTCTGTGTGTGTCTTTTCCCTTCCTGAACCCTCTGCTCGAGCCGAGGTGGGCGCTCGGGAGAAGCGGGGGGGGGCGTAGGGCAGGGAGGGCCAGGGGGCAACTCCTGACTACATACCATCGGGTGTTGCTAGAAGTAACCCTGGCCCAAGGAACTCCAACATGTTCCCCGACGCCCCCCCTCATCGGGAATGGCAGGCAAATTGGGGCCTTCGGCTTGGGTTGGGGTGTTTCGGTGGGTGGTAAACTTCTGGGAGGTCTCCGTCAAAAACATTACGGGCTACTACGAAATGCCTGAAGGCGCTGGGTTATGTGCAACTGAATAAGCCCGAGCAGACCAGTTTGAACGGGACTGAGGCCGATCACGGGGCAATAGAGCCAGATTGGACCAGTTCGAACCCAAGGTGAGGCTGGATTCAGCGGGAGTGATCGGGACTCAGCCAGACCAGGCCAGTTTCCGACAAGGAATATACCAGCGCCGACTCTGGATTTAACCTCCCAGGAGTTGCATCCGAAGGAGGGGATGGGCAGGGAAGGATGGAAGGACTGTTCTCGGACTCTTTTGTCTGGCTGGAAACCCACTGTGGAGGCACGCACCTGCCCAACCTACGGCACGAAAGCCCCGTAGGTGACACTGCCCCGCGACTCCCCATGGGGCGCAACCCTCTTGGGGACGGGCGCCTCCCCCTCGCGACAGTCTGGCGGCCGTCGCCTGCGCACACCAGCACGCCCCGCGGCCCCACGCGCCGCACGCCCCGGGAGGATCACTGACCAAACTGCCAAGTCTTGGGGCGGGCCGCCGCTGAACAGTTCCTCGGGTGAGTCATTGCTGAGCCGAGGGACTGCCAGCGGGGGACACCCATTGCTTAGGGGGGTATCCTGTTTTGGGGCGGAGGAGGAATGAGGAAACCGAAAGGTACCGATACCGTTACTCCCCGGGCCTCTCCCGGTGCATTCTGACCTGAATTTCGAGGCGAATCCAGCGGAGGCGACGAGGTTCTCCCAAGAGGCCGAAAAAGGGGGAAACGGCCGAAGGGTAGCGGTAATTTTATGGGTACCTTTCCCCTCCCAGAAGGACTGGGAGAGGGGGGCGGGGAGGAGCAACGGGAGCGCCTCCAACGAAACTGAGGCCGAGCGTGGCGCATTTCAGGCCCAAGCTCGCTGGCGGCGGGCCCTCTCGAGCGTGCCGCCCCTCGAGCGTCTCGCCTCTCAGTGCTCCGACGTGCCGAGGCGCGGCTGAGGCGGCGCCTGGCCGCCCCCGCCGCGAGGCGGGCGAGCCGAGCGGGCGCCTCGATCATGTGGCGGCGAGCGAGGGGGGGGAGCGAGGAGGAGAAGGCTTTCTCAGAAGGCGGCGGGACTCCTCAGAAGCCCCCGCGCCTTCAGCGAAAGTGTTTCTGTCTTCGGGGGAGGCTTAGGAAACTTCTCAGAAGGCCGGGGCACTTCCGAACCCTCTGAGAAGGCCTTCTCCCTTCTCACTTCCCACCCTCGCTCGCCGCCGAAACATGATGGCGGCCTGCGATTGACGGGCTTGCACGACAACATGTCGGTACGATCGGAACGGGTACGGAAAGAAGTGGCACGACAACCGACAACAACCCCTGTCTATTCTGAACCGGGTTCGCCGTCGGCGTTGCCGCGGACGTTGTCCATTTTGGGACAAGAGGCCACCCTCCCAACAGTGGATGCTGCCGGTGTTGACAATATCTGCTCTTGGCCATCGTGCCCACTTTGTCCGTTCCCATGTCGGGCGCCCGGGGCATTTAGGAAGCCCACAGACGATGTACGAGCCCAACCACCACGTACACGAATGCGGCCCTCCAGTCAGCGGGACCAGCAGCGTGATACGCACGTTCACGCAATGCGTTCTCTCGAAACTATGGTGGATTCGTGTACGTGTAATTATGTCCTTCTTTCGCTCCTGGGCACTGGCTGCGTCCTGGAGCAGCAGAGTGATACGCACGTTCGCGCAATGCGCATTCTCGAAACCCAGGTGCATTCGTGCACGTGTGAGTCTTCTTTCACTCCTGCGCCTTAGCTGCGTCCTGGAACTTTTGTCGCCCCGCGCCTGCTTCTAGGTGTTCTCGCTGGCAACTTCCCACCGCTGGCCAATCCGAAGGCCGAAAAAACACCCCTCACAAAAAGTACCCGCCTCCTCCTCTTCCTCCTCCTCCTCCTCCTCTTCCTCCTCCTTCTCCTCGCCCTCCTTACCGTAGCCATTTCGGCTCAATACTATGAGGTTCGCAGGGAACCAAGTGGATACCGCTAGCCCGCGGCAGTGCCAGGGCCTTTCGCCCGACAGCTTTCCCCCCGGCTCCTGGTCCGCCCCAGGCAGCCAAGTGTGCAAGTATCTGATCATTGCGTCTCTCGCTTCCTGTCTGCGGCCGCCATGGCACCGTCTGCTGGCCGCGCGGCAAAAGAGAGGGCGGCCAAGGCGAATCGATGGGTCTGCAGATACTGCACGCATCAAATGACGGGCGAACCGTGGCATAACCATGCAAATGCTGTTTCTTGCTGTCTATGTGGTGGTGCTAAGGGTCATTCCTCCTCCTGTTCCCAGTCAGCGCGCTCCTCCTGCCATGGGTGCTGGCGCTGCGCGTGCACTGGAAGCAAAGGAGAAAGAATTGGCTGCTCTCCGCAAGCAGGTTCGGCAGCTATCGCGGTCCAAGTCTCCCGAGGTGGATGCTCTTGAACTGCAGCCCCAGACTGATTCGACTGGCGGACCCGAGCTGCAGAAGAAGCAGAAGGAGTTGGAAGCTTGCGAAGGTGTACTGGCGGCTGTGGAGCAGGCAGCCAAAGTCAAACGAGTTAGGCCCAAAACGGTTTCTGGCTATGCACACGCGGAGACTTCGGTTCAGCAGCTACGCCCGGAGATCACGGCGGCCAAGCACCAGGGCCCGCAGGTGCATGGCATCGGCAACAAGCTCCAGATAATCGATCAGTAGATTGCAGAGCTCAAGTAGCCGATTGGCACTGGAGAGAAGCGTCTGTTCGAGAAACAAAAGCTGGTTTTGGAACTTCGGCAGCAGTTGGACGACAAAAAACATGCGCGGGTGCAGTTGCAGCTGGAGCAGATGGAGCTCCTTCGGCAGAGAACACCTGAACAACATGCTGGTGCCACCTCCGTTAGCGACAAAGAAATGGTCGAGGCTTTCTCTGCTAACTTGGAGCAGCTACAGGCTGTTGTGCAACAGTTGGGTGGTGGTGAACAGTTGGCTGCTAGCTGCGTGCAGTATGTTCAGCCATGGATCGAGGCTGTCAAGAAGGCGAGAGACGACCATCAGGAGGTGCAGCGGGCTATGCAGCAGCAGCAGCAGCAGGCTCAGCAACCACCTTCTGGCGTGGAGGTCACCGCTACTCAGACGGCCTTCGATACTCCTGCACCCGAGAATCTGAATCTTGAGGACCTCGAGGCATTCGTCGCCAGCAATGGGGGCAAGGTCACCGACGACGAGGCGGAGGTCAGGGCGCAAGCCACGCGCCAGCTCGAGTCCTTCAAGCTGCTCATTACGAAGAAGATGCGTAATGGCTCTAGCGCTAGGCCTAGCGCAAGTCTTAACGATGGTATTTGAATCAGCTGGGCAACCTATGGCAGGATCACGTTATCACGAGCCCCCCCGAGGTCGGCGATGACGTTGAGCAGTTGTGCGCTGACCTTTGGTTTGATCTGGGGGATTTCTGTGGACTGCGCAGCGATGGGGCTGGCGCCAGGGGCGATGGGCCCCCTTTCAATGATCACGCGCCGCAGCTTGACCAAGTGCCCGTTGAGGTGGAACTACCTCCTTCTGCCGAACGCTCTGTAGCGGCCCAAGATTCCACCGCCGCGCGAGCTGGCGCGAGGGAATGGGCAGCTATCTGGTTCGAGAACCACCTACAGCACTACAGTGACGATTCTCAGTGGGTGGAGTGGTGTCAGGCTTTCCTCTCAGCGATGTTGGCTCGCGGAGGCGAAGATCCCCTTCTGCTGCTGCTGGCGAATTGGTTTCCTGGCCGCGCTATGGAGTCTATCCTATAGGAGCCTTGCGAGGCGGCCTTGCGCCAAACTGAATGGCGTCGTGACACTTAGTCTATGAAGATGGCGAGTTCAGACACTGATGCGCGCCGACGCCTGGGGCTCCGCCAGTGGCAGGCATTGGCTGAAGCACGGGGCATGGTCCGGCGCATCCTTGGCCCTGACGCGCCTGATGCACGCCGGCCGCCACGTCCACGGAGACCGGCCTTGGAGCATGGGCAAGCAGACGATCCCGTGGATGTCCTCGTCGAGCAGATGGCCATGACCACCCGCGCCTCGGCTGCGACATTTCGCGGTCGTGGAAATGACGAGGACACTTTGGACAGAGGGGGCAGGGATTCAGCCCCTGGAAGCCGCGCCCCTCTGCCCACGTGTCCCGCGGCTTCGGGGCTGGCAGCTGCTACGAGGCGGTCTACGAGCATCCCCCCAGATGGCCAGCGACGCCCCCCCCCTGGACTGGGGGCAACCGCGAGACAAATGACGGCGCCAGCTGGGGCATCGGCGTCAAGCGGTGTATTTACGGCTCCTGCGGGTCGCAGAGGTCGCCACATGCTGGTCAGTGTCCAGCTGGAAGTCAACTTCATTCGCTGGGGCCCGAGTGCGCCATCAGGGCTACTAGGCGCCACGCCGCCGCGTGTGCTGGAACGCGTTGGAGTGCGCAGACCTAGCGTGACATTGCGGCTACGGGGCACCACGTCGCCACGTGAATCAGGGCGCCCAGCGGTTGCTCCGGCGTCTGGCGTGGCCATGGAGGAAGCGACATTCGCGAAGTCCGTGGGCCCTCCGAGTGCCACGGGCCCCCTTGCGAGGACCGCTGTCGGCGCTGCCTCCGGCGGTGCCGCGGGTCCTCGTTCGGGGGTCGCTGTTGGCGCGAGGAGCGGGAAGCGCGTCGCTGCCTCGCGCAGCGCGGGCGGGATCCGCTGTCGCGGGGGGGGGGGGGGGCAGAGGAGTAGCTCAAGTCCGCCCCCCCCCCCAACAAGATTTTTCCCGCAGAGATGACGAGTTCAAGGGTGAAGTGACCACGGCCAATGTCACGTCACATGGATCGTCGTTTGAGTACCTAACCACAGTGGAGCAGGCGAAGGTGGCGCTGGTGCAGGAGCACCATGCACTACCACGTCGTCGGCCGCAGGCGCAGTCCCAGGCACGAGACTTTGATTGGCGCGGACTATGGGCCTGCGCCAATCCTAGCTCGACGTCGGCGACGGGCTCGGTTGCAGGTGTGGCTATACTTGTACGTGCTGATATCATGATCTCGGCTCCAGATTTGTCTGAGATGTGGCTTGTTCCAGGAAGGTTGTTGTTTGCTCATATTCGCTGGGGGGGCACGTGGAAGTTTTACGGCTGGCAGTGTCTATCTGGATGCCACGGATGGTCTGGGCCCAGCAAACGCGGCTTAGCTGTGGGCAATGGTTCAGGCGCTGGCGAAGCTTGACAGTGAAGGCCATGATTGGCTCGTCGGACGTGACTGGAACAATGAGCCCAACTGCCCTATTCACCGTGGGCTGGGCCACTGCTGCTTCTGCCTTTCCTTTCTTCCCTCGCACTCTTAGGCGCCGGCAGGCCGCGCCAGGCACTGTGCTCGACTACTTCGCTGCGTCGATGAACTTGGCATCCAGAGTTGCCGCGCAAGCGCGCGCCGATGAGGGCTCGACCTTGTCCCCACATTGTCCAGTTCACTTACGGATGATGGCGCAGGACGCAGAGATCTGGAGGCAGGTCCCTGACCTGCCCAAGGACTTGCCTCTGACGGCAGCACCTGGTTGCTCGCGGTATCCTTCTGAATAGAACTCCCAGTTGTTTGCAGACGTCACCGACGCGCAGGGCCTCGCTGTTTGCATGGGCTCCCTCATGAGCGGTGTCGAGCGGGAGTTGGCCAACAGATATGATCAAGTTGGGGCCAGCGAATTGCGGCATTCTGGACGCGCTGGGCCCCCTCGCTTCGCGCGGAGACAACTCAAGCGGCAGGCCCCGCTGACTTGAACGCACAAGCAGCCGCAGACTCTGGCCTGGAAGACGGCGCCACGATGGATGGCGCACCTGCAGAGGGAGCGCCATCGGCCACGCACGCCGGTGTCTCGTTTGCAATCTTCCAGTGTGCTGCGTGCGATTGAGCCGCAACAGTGCGCCGTGCTCCCCCAGGCTTTCCATGAGGTCAAAGGGGTTCTTGCGAATGCCAGGCGCAGCCGCGTGGTGCTGAGCTACCCCCCCAGGCAGTTGCAGTTTTTCCTCGCGCCGGGGCTGGGGGTGATGGCGGCGCCCACCTTTCCATCGCCGATGGAACAGGTCGGGCGCGAGGCCGCTGCCATGCGTAAGAGCGACCAGAAGGCGGCCTATCAGGCTTGGATGAAGTTTCAGCGAACTGCCTCTCAAGACGGGGCGTCAGCGGCTCATCGAGGCCATAAGGTTCAGCGCATGGGCCAGGTGTTTCTTTTCGCGCGGGGCCCGCAGGGCATGCAACCGACGGTGCTGGCCAACAAAGATATGGATGGATGGCAAATCATTTGGGCGCGGCATGGATGCCTACCTGTGGAATCACCTGCGGAGGTTGTGAACTGGCCGCTCTCACCAGCGCTGGACGCGCCGACCTTGCGACGGGCGCTGCTTACCTTTCCCGAGCGCACGTCAACGGGGCCCCACGCCATGCGCCCGCGAATGTCGCGGCGCCAATCCGACGAGACGCTCGGCGCGATGATTCAATTATTTGCCTCCTGCGGAAGGCTACTCGGTTGGCCGGCTGACAGACCATGGCCCATGACGTGTCGCGCCCCGAAGGCTGACGGAAGACGCAGGTTGATTGCTGTCGCTCGCACTTTGCAGAGTGCATGGGGGCGGCCGAGACGAAGCATTTTCCGACAATGGGGGCGAGATCACCGATGTGAGTACGCGCGGGGCAATCGATCGCGGCATACCTCGTTCGACAATGCTTTTTGCGCGTAACTTGGCTTCGGAGATGGCTGTGCTGGGAGGTCACTATAGTGCCGCGGTCTTGCTCGACCTCACCGCGGCCTTTGATCCGGTGAGACCGTCGCAGTTGTTCAGGGAAGGCATCGCTCCTTGCTGCCAGCCCAGGATGATGCACATGCTGCTGCGGATGAACCGCCCCCCGCGTCGCCTGAAGGGTTACGGTGCCTGCTCGGAACCGCTGCACGTTGACCAAGACAGAATGGCAGGTTGCACGCGCGCGGTTTGCATGCTCGAAGTGCTTACCTCGCGGGCGATCCTTCGATTGAGAGAAATCCATGGTAACCTTGTGCCACGTGCGTTGGTGGATGATGTATCGGTGCAGCAGGCTGGTTCTGACTCGAATGGTGTGAAGGCCTTGCAGTTGGCCTGGGGCCCTGCTTCAATGACAAGAAATCCAATATTGTGGTCGGCACGCATTCTACCAAGCGGCTTGTCAAGGGTTCCAAGCATCGGTTGATAGGCTGGATGCGCAATCTGGGCCGCGAGACCGTGGGCGTCCGACCTCTACGGTTACAGGAGAAGCCCCGACTACGGGATCTACAGCGGCGGCGACATCGGCGACATCGGCGACAGAAGGCGGCTGGGCGGAAGGCCTCAGTGCTGTGGAGGGCAGGTGCTCAGCTTGCCGTGGCCCACGGTGCTGAGGTATCTGGGATGAGCGACAGTGCTTTGTCTGCGGCGTGGCAGCGATAGTTCTGGGAGCACCTCCAAGGGCGAATACGACAGCCGATATTGTCAATGGCAGGTACGTTGCGACCGAATATTTGATGCGACGGCGACCCTGTTGTGCAGGTATCACTGTTTTGAGTGGGGCGCACGCGTCTCTATGAGAGCTGCGCCAGGCCTGGGAGGCTGCGGTTACCTGCATTAAGGACAAGGGCCTTACCTGGGCAGGGGTGGGAGGCCCACTTGATGCTGCATATCTTACGCTACAGAGGATTGGCTGGGATTTTGTTTCCCCGCAGCATTGGCGCAGCGACCTCGGTGAAGTTTACGATCTACTACGTGTGGCACCAGCCGTAAAAGTTTTTCTGGAGGACGCGGTCAAACGCTGGCAGGTGCAGAAGCTGACGCGTCGCTGGTCCATCCATGAGGCCACGCATGATGTATGGGAGCGTGCCGTACGAGTTGGACATCGTGATCTGAAGGCGGCGCCGATGGGCGCACTGCGCGGGCTTTTGGCGGATCGATATTCCACGCGCGCCCGCCTTGCCGCGTGGGGGAAACAGATGAGTCCCCACCGCTCTGCCCGTGGGTCGAACGATGGATCTTTTGGCCACATTTGGTGCGGATTCCTGCGCTCGTGCAGCCCGATGACAGTGAGTTGTTGGCTGGTGCTGAGGCTTTGTCTGCTGAAAATCGCGCTTCTCATCGGGATGCTCTGCGAGCAAGTGGACGCCGCCCCCTTTTGATCCTGACAGTGACACCCTAGGCCTCAGCTATGGGCTCCCAAAAATTTCCGTTCAGCTTCCACCCCCGCCCGGGAGTTCGGAGGTTTGTGAGCGGGGCGACGTTGACGGGGAGTGGGGGCCTGTTGCCTTCGGGGATGGAAGCGCCCAGGCCCCTGCTGTTCCAGAGGCTCGCAGGGCTGGGTGGGCCATAGTCCAACTGAATGCGCCGCTGTTTCCTGTTCGGGGCCGTTTTTGGATCGCCGGAGGGCGCCGTCCAAACCGCGGGGCGCGCGGAGAGAACCGCGCTGCTCCAGGCCATTCGGCGAAACCCATCCCTGGAAGTTTTTGTTTCGGACCTGTTGTTTCTGGTCCAAGAAGGACAAACGTGTGGCCCTGAGAATGCTTGTGGCTCGAAGAAGTCTGCTGCGACATGGCGAACTGTCTTTGAGACAGCCAGGCTGCGGCCCACAGAGGCCCCTTCTGTTTCCGTTGCGTGGGCTCCTGCGCACCTCAACTTCGAGGAAGTCTTGGGGCGAGGGCTTGACCCTGTCGCTTGGATTAGTAATGCTTGGGCTGACCTGTTTGCGAAGCTGGCATCGACGCGTGTCGTGGCTGCTCGTACGTATGCGGAGGCAGCGGCGGGTAAGCTCAAGCTTCATCAGGCCACTGTTGGTTACATATCTTGGGCTGCTGCCAGAGCCATCATGCTTAAGA